TAGGAAATTTAACTAAAATATTTATTTGTAGAAATACAAATAACATACTAATACAGAAAAACATTGTGGAACACTACAGGTAAGTATTTTATCTACATCATCTCACATTTTTAACTGTATCATACAAGTCTAAACCACAGTATAGTGCTTTAATCTAAACTGTACAATCATTATTTACAGTTAAAAATGCCTTGATAAAAATAACTAAAATCGGGAAATGAACTGGCGTATCAATATTTTATTACGTATTACAGACTTTGGTACAATTATATAAGACGCTAATATAGTCAATAAAGAAATTTTAGTATGTTATCGACGCGACGGTGGACCAGAAAAATTATCACGGCGATTAAGTTCGACTTTGACAGGTCGTTTAAGTCATTATAAAGAATCATCGACGGCTACTAGAGATAAGAGATGGGTAGGAGTCAAAGTACTGGAATGGAATTATTAAATACGCAAGTTTAAGTTAAATATTAATATTGTGTTATATGGGATTACGAGCCTCTTCCCGTATCAGTTGGCCCAACTATGGAATTTGCAGTTTAAGTCGATTACCATAAACAAATTATACGTTGCATGTTTTTAAAGTTCCCATATTAATTAATATGCCATTTTTATTAATATTTATTAAACACATTACCCATACGGTTTTTTTATTTATTTTCAACAATAAAAAAATCACTAAACCCAGGCTATGGATTCACATAAGTCAACATACGTTGGTTTTTTCATAATTACGTTAAATCCAGAGGTAGCTATGGAAAAAAACATCAAAATAATATTGTCAGTTAATGTCAAATAACTGATACTTTAGTATTGTAAAGGTTTTTGCCGTTTGTGGATTGTACAATGGGTCGAGGTAAAATTATTGATGAGAAATGTTGTTCAATCATTGTTAGATTTTTTAATTCTGGAAAATCAAATTCTGAAATCGCGAATATGTTGCAACTGTCACACTATTAATTACTATTAAACTGGGAATAAGCCACAATTAAAGATAAAAATACGTTTATTGACGTTTCAATTTCCACTTCGGAAATCGTTCTCAAAATACAAACAGTAAATTAAACAAATTTTGTTTTTTTTTTCAGAACGATTTCCGAAGTGGAAATTGAAACGTCAATAAACGTATTTTTATCTTTAATTGTGGCTTATTCCCAGTTTAATAGTAATTAATTTACAATGCCACAAGAAAATAGCTTCAGAACAATGTCACACTATAAAGTGAGAGCTCCCACCAAAGTGGCGTGGCACGTAGCAAGTGGCAAGTAGCACACGTCTAGCATGTTTCTTAAAATGTAACCAATGAAAACGAATGATTTAGCGCACACCAAAATTACAGTGACGTCCATTCATTCTAATCATTCGTTTTCATTGGTTACATTTTAAGAAACATGCTAGACGCGTGCTACTTGCTACGTGCTACTTGCCACGCCACTTTGGTTCGCGCTCGCTCTAAGAAATATGGTCAGAAGATACAAAACTAGAAAAAAAACAACATCAGAAGATACAAAACAAGAGCATAAAGATTGAACCCAGTCGCAATGGGATTCAATACAATGGAGTTGTGAGTCCAGATTTGAAGTGTGTGTTGGAGACAGTGGGAGTCGCGTCATTCGAAGGAAAAATGAAGCGTTAGACCCCGACCGTCTGAAGGGAAAAGTCAAATTTCCTGCATTTGTCATGATCTTGGTCAGCATGTCGTCTAAAGGTGTGGGAAAATTACATTTTATCGATGGGATTGTAAACATGGACAAATATTTGAATATTTTAGAAGAATCTCTTTTACCGATTATGCAGACCATGGCATACCACTTCTGGAATAGGTTTCTAATAGTCCCAACTTGTCCCCGATAGAGATTTTGTGGAGCGAAATGAAAAAAGCTTTGAGAAAACATCCTGCCAGGTCCATCAACGAATTAAATGAAAAATTGCAAGAAAAATGGGATTCGTTTACATTAGAATTTTGTAAAAACTATGCCTCGAAGAATTGTGGATGTCAGTAAAAATAAAGGGGATGTAACTCATTGGTAAACTTTCACATTTTTTTTGTTAATATTACAAATTCTATGCGTTTTTTAACCACGTTCGGCGACGTGTACCATCGGTGGTACATGCCTAACTTTCATTCAGTCTCTTGTAGCCACCGGTAGTACACAGTACCGTTATATTTCTTAACTCTCTAAAACCTTACAGTTAATAGATATCTTGTTTATATTGCGTACACACTTACAGTATAGTTTTAAATATATGGGTTTGTCGTCGTTTTGGCAAAAAAACTGCAGTAAAAATGGTTTATTAAAATTAAAACATTGTAGTATAGCATAGATATGGTACAAAACTTAAGAGATAATTTAAACATTATACAAAACTAGATGGGTTTGTGAATTTCTTTAAAGCAAAGAAGACATCTTTACCATTTTTCAAAGTTAAACACTTGCACGTCGCGATTTATACAAAGTGACGTCACTTGTATTTAAAAATTCCAGAACATCAACCTTGCAGTTCAAATTTTCCTAACACAGCTAATAATACGAAACCCATACGAAACTGCTCGATCTTTCATAGGCGTCAACATGTTGTAATAATCAGAACAATGGAATCGTCATTATATTGGAAATTTTAGAATTATATTGATTAAATAACCAAAAACATTTGTTTATTAATAATATAAATTTTATGAAATAACTCTTTAAGTCTAATATTCCAGAAAATAATAATTTTAATTAAATATATTATACAATTGTACGCAACTGATACGGAAATGCTTCAAATGTTATTGACAGTGAAGCATATGGCAAAAGTGTATTAAGTGTTGCCGCTTTTTAGAGTAAGCATTTTGTTTATGTTTTGATGTCTTACACAATTTGATCATAATATAATATATATTAATAAATTGTATTTATAAATACATATTAAATTTAATTAATAGCTTTAAAATCGAATCTAACGTCTTTTTGGGTCTACGAATATTTAACTTTCCGTATATGAATTTCGCACCAAAGTAACATTCCGTATACGTATTTGGCACCTCGCCGCCTATTGGTTGAAACATTTCCGCGTGCCGCAAAGGACCAATAGAAAAGTCGTAGGTGCCAAATGCATATACGGAATGTTTAGATGCTTACCGAATAGGTCCAGAAATAAATAACAAAAATAAAAAAATCTTCGATATGAATGCATGTGCAAGACAGATTGGAGGCTTGTGAACGAAAGTATTTATAGATAAGGTATAAAAAGTACTTATACAGTAAAGATAATGAAAGTAATTATTTATTAAACTAATTCGAGACAGCAAAATGTCAAAAGTCAAGAATAGACGTCAACAACGGAACAGATAACATACATTTTTATGGATAATAGTGTAAGGGAGTGGAGCGGAATGAATAATGAATAAATAAATAAATTAAATTAATAAAAATATCTCAACTCAATTCTCTAATGTTGCCGCCAACTTTTATTAATAAAGACAAGAAATTTTTTATTATAAATTAAAGGATATCTTATAACTGGCAATCCCCAGTTCGTCTTCCACAAAAAAGCAAACTTTTATATTGCAGTATACAATGCAAGGAAATTATCTTGTATAATTTCACACTAAAAGTTAGTTTTAGATAGTTTATGATTTTTAAATTATCAAGTAATTCTGAAAATGTTTGATAAAACATTCCCTATACCTAAATTTAATCATTTTTAATTTCTATTAGATTTTGATATAGCCCCTGATCCTAAAAATATTTATGATTGCAACATAAACTCTCAAAAAATTAGTATATTATTTATTAAATTATTATTAAATTATTTTGAGAACGATTTCCGAAGTGGAAATTGAAACGTCAATAAACGTACTTTAACCTTTAATTGTAGCTTACTCTCATTTAAATAGTAATTACTTTAACATGCCACAAGAAAATAGCTTCAGAACAATAATAATAATACTGTCTTAAATTCCAACTCATTGAACGTGTACATCGGCATTCTGAAGTATTAAAAAAATTTATCTCGGTATCCAACAGATAAGGTAAAAGTCTAACACACCTTGTTTCTTTTTTCTTTTTTTTTCCAAGCATCATGTCCCAATTTTTACATTCACTGCTCTCTATCAACGATTTTTTTGTAATTAGATGTTCTGTATCCCAATAGATAGCCACAATAGTTAAATCACGGTTATTGAAATGTTTCAGAATTACACGCAGAATACCTTCCACGATCGATTGGCAGGATAGACCCATGTAAAATCGGAAAGAAGTATAAAGCCAGCATCACATATATGCTCATTCCTTTCCGATCCCGCAGCGACCGAGATTTTTGTAGCATAATGGGACCTGAGTATGATCGGAAGACTACATGACAGGTATATCCAAGACTTTAAAATAACTATCTTTCTATTCAGAATTATTTAGATAATCTAAATATCACACTGTATCTTCTTTATGGATGTAAATAAAGTTTTTATGAAATATAATTTTCAATATCTTACTAAGACATTTTATTATTATGTTTTAAAAAAATATCCCCAATTACATACGAATACTAACTAACTTTAAAGTATTCGATTAATAAAGGCCACAATCACTTAATATTATTTTCAAATATAAAAAATTATCTGAAACCTCATGTGGAATCTATGGTCGTTCTATGTAAAGATAATTCAATGATAACCTGTATAAATACCATCCACTCACTCTTTTACACACTAAAGAAATTAAAATAAAAAACCATGAAATGATAACATTCACAATATTTTATAACACAAAGACGTAATTTGGATGATTAGAGAAAAAAGTTGGTTTTATTAAAAAAATAAGCATGCAAAATGAGTTAAGATTAAGGAAAAAGCTTTATTTTGGTTCTTGTTGGTTTACAAAAATTACAATTGTATTAAACCTATATTATGTATTAAAAAAGCACCAAATAAAACAAATATAAAATATTAGAAATGGCACTTTGAGTCTTTTCCGAAAAGTCACTTTTTTCTTATAAGTTACTCAGCTTACCTTTATATTTCGGTACGAAATTTTTAATATCCTGTTCCTGTATGTTTTGATAAAAATCCAATTCTCTGTAGTTCAGCGGTTTAACTATCGTACTAGAATTCAATACCATCAATCTCGTGTGACCACCAACCTAAAATAAAAAGAAAAATGGAGGAATGTATACATGAAGAAGGTTATTAGATAACTACGTTTCTACCTTAATTGATAATTATTTACAAAAAATAAAATTCTGTTTTTTTGTATTCTCTGCTCACTCAATAGAGTTATTCCAACGACAAATTTGCAATACCTTCATGTAGCTCGATGAATCCAAATCGTCAAAATAACTGTTTAAGGCCGTATGACACTATGAATTTTCTTGTATCATTTCTTATATCGTTTCTAATATAGAAGAAAGTTATTTATGGTTTTTTGTATCGTTTATTGTACATTTGTGCTCTGTATGACACTATGCAAGTTCATTTACCGGAAATTGTATGTGATTCGGCACATGATTGGTTGAAATTCTGACACCTATAAAAATAGAACTGCAGTACCTGAGGACCCCAAGCCAGATCCTACTGATTATTTTTTTAAAATACTGTAGGCAAAAATGAAAGAAATAAAATGTCAATTATTCAAATAAAACCACAATTTTTGAAGATATTCAACACGCTGTAATGGAAGACAGAAATAATAAATAATTTGATTGTAATAATTTATTTGTTTTTTTTTACAAATTATGTGTTTGAATAGCATGCTCTTGAAATTCTACTCTCTTATTTGGAGATATAAAATAATCTTTAAACTCATCACGAATTTTTAGAGCGGTTATGTATTGTTTTTAGTAATACATCTCCTCCTACTTTCAGTAGTTCCGATGCTATTTGATTAAATCCCTGTGATTTATTGTTTTTCAATTTGGCTACTGCTGTTCTAATCTTGGTTACTGTTGGTGTTCACTTTTCTCTTATGTCTGCTTTGTCTAACTGTATATCAAAGTTCTCCCCCAGCCGCCATTATGACAGAAGTTTTACGTTTTTGCGCACAAATTGGCGCATTTCTTGTACGAGAAACTGCAGCGGACACAAATTCTTGGTTCAACGGACACTATCCATTTTTTTGTAATATAAGAAACGAAGATATAAGAAATGATATAAGAAATGATACAAGAAAATGACATATAGTGTCATACGGTCTTTACAGCAGCGATTGCCTGTGTAAAAAAAGTTCGAATTTAGATAAAACATCAAAACAAAAGTACGGTATTCGCTTCGCAAAATAAATTCACTAATATCGAAGTACCGAAAGTGAACATTGTATTTATTTTTTAATTTGCATAATTTACGTCTGACTTAAATTCTGATTCCTTCGGCATGTTCCAAATGTATTCCTCAGGGTTTGTCAGATCAGGTGAATGAAATGTGTACTCGAAGTCTGTTCCACGAGAAATTATTCTGTTCGTGTAGTAAGGCTAAGGCTAGAGAGCGAATAGTAGTAGTATGGCTCGTTGCGCCATTCTTTTAATACAGTGAATACCGTGATACTGTGAATACCGTATATTACAATAACAATGCTAAATATGTACCCGTAAAATGTATTGAGAGGGATGTAAGTTTATATCAGATCACGTAGAATTGGAATTCTTTTGTAAATCTTGAACACACATTTGGTTGAAACGTGCTTTGTGTCTTGCTTTGCTTTTATTGACAGGTCAATATATTTTGTTCTATTAGATATCTTTATCGGACAGTAAAGGTCAAAAATAACTTCACGTTTTATTTCTCATCACTTAAATAATAATATTTTAGAAGTCAGTATTATTTTGTTTTCCACTGAGAGGGAAAAAAGATCATCCCTTAATATCTAATTTGATAATAACTAATACTAATAATCTAATAAAGAAGAAATATAAACACTCATTGAAAACTCAATTCATTAATTTTAGTCATTACAATCACATACTGATTAAATTAGACTATAATAAAAGACTAATTAAAATAGATTCATGAACTCGTCTCCGTCAAATTATAATATTAAAGTATCATTTTACCGTTGGGATTTTAAATTCAGAAATAAAATTAAGATATTAATTATTACATAAGACAAGTGACTGTCCCATAGTGTTTGACTATCAATTTTTATAAGTGTTTTCATCTTTTCTAACATCCTTTTTGCACTCTCTATGTCACGTCGTGTTTCTGCCGCATCTGTCATTATTGGTCTTATAACTGGCTTGTAAATTTTGCCTTTCCTTTATTTCCCGATATTTTTATTTCTCCATATTGTTTCATTCAGGCAACATGCGTCTTTGTCTGCTCTCTACACTTGATCTTCCACTTGTTTCGAGCTTTCCGTAGCTAGATAATGTGATGTCTAGATATTTAAACTCCATCACTTGTTCTATTATCTAACTTTGCAGTTCAAATTTACATTTATTGCTCTTATAACCATGCATTTTGTCTTTTTGGGGAAATTAACATGTTAAATTTTCTGGCAATTATATTTAATTGGTGCAGCATAAGTTGTAAATCATCTTCACCCTGAAAGAGTAGTATTTGTCTGCATAGCAGATTATTTTAAGCTGTTTTTCTCTCATTTGATATCCTTTTTTAGTTCTTTAGTTTAGCTTAGTTTTAGTTTGGTCACAGTATAGTGCTTTATAAAGCACTATACTGTGGTTTGGTATCCTTAGTTTTTTTATTATTTCATCCACAATCAGGTTGAACAATAGAGGACCCAGGGAATCTCCCCGTCTTATACCATTGCCAGCTTCAATAGGGTCAGTTAGTTCTTCTTCTACTTTTACTTTTATTCTATTGTTTTGGTAGATATTTTCGATCGTTTTGATTATTCTCTCTGACCTAGAGGTACCCATAGGTAACCAGGTAACCATAACAATCCCTGTAGCCAAAACTGTTGTAGACATATTTGATGTCAGATAACCAGACGTCTTTCAAATGACAGTTCTTTGTCACTACTCTAACTTATTGTTTCATCGTGTATATAGTCAGACGAGACGTTCATATTGCCGTCATAATCACGACGTAAATTTTAGATATGTTGAGGGATCGCTATGCATTGTCATCTTTACTCTATAAAAATACAATTCTAAGTAGCGGAGAAGACAATGATCACTGCTCTCGGAGGAGCTGAATAGATTATACCATCTGGAAAACTTTATGTATTACAACACAAAACGAAGTAAGTAATTAAATAGTAAAAATTTTCAAGAAATAATCGAAATCTCTACTCGAAAATTATGTCGTTATTCTTATGTCTTGTCGTAATTCTTATTTAAAACGAAAACCTGATGACATTTTTTACTCTTTCGACCGCAAACTTTCAGGAATAACTGAAAATTTCAGGTTATAAAGCGCAGACAATGAAATTTTATGATTAAAAATGTGCCAACAGTAATTGTTAATTATCGATTTTTCAATTATTAACTATCAATTTTTCAGCTTTCTGAATTCTTTCTCATCAACAAAAAGATTAATTTATTGGATACTCCGCTATGGCTCGTCTTTCGAGATGAGCCAATCCAACAAAAAATACACTGTGTTCTATACAAACTTAAATCTGGCAACTGCCTCCCCCCCCCCCAAAAAACTTACACAGGTCAAACTGGTAGAACTTCAAACGTGCAGCAAAACATAAAAGAGCTTGCAATAATAGAAAAACAGATTTTACTTACGCACTTCACTTTCTAGAATATAATCATTCTGTTAATGACGAATTTCAAATTCTCCATATTCAAAATAAAGGCCTTAAGCTATCTTTATTAGAATCTATGGAAATTAACAAATTAAGAAATACATAATTCTGAATGACCAACTTGGGACAAACAGTTCCCTCCTTAACTTAGTAAGTTAAAGATTATAAATGATCTCTGTTGGAGACATCACGGGCGCACCAGGGGGGGTTGGTGGTTAAATCCCCCCCCAGGCACTATTCCGACACTGTTACTCACAAATTTTAAAAACTTAAAATGGTGGATGTAGCATAAAAAAATTTCTGTGCCCAAACAAAACCCACCCACAGGACAATTCTGGGTGGGCCACTGGGAGACATGTTCAGAGAATTATGTAAATTCTTTGTAGCTGTCCTTAGAGAAGTAATGTTGACAGCTCTAATCCTATCATAAAAATGCAACAAATCAATAGCGAATGAATAATTTCTCCATTAACAAGCTAATCACAAAAAAACATGATCCCTCAAGAACTTTGTCTTAAGTCAATACTTTTATTTCTCGGAGATTTATTTTTTGTTTACATTTATCGCCTTTTCTGCCTTTTTTATTTATTTTAATAATTTTAATAGTATATATTCCTGCAATTTATAATTTTTAGGTAGGTAATGTACATAAAGGTATGTTTGTTATTAGGCATACTATGTTCTATTAATTACAATAAAAATATATCTACGACACTGAATGTAAAAAATAGTTGTAGATATTAGGAAACTCACAGATAAAACTGTTGATAAAAGTGTGTCAAAAAATACGATGTTTGTAACTTTAATCGTTGATAGTTTTAAATACATATTTCAACAGCTATTAATTATTATGACTATATTTTCTATTATTGATCACATTTAAAACATTGTTATCTTAAAAAATCACACTGAGATATGTAGAAATTATGAGTTATATCATATTAGACGTATATTAAAAAGTTCATTCATTTAGTTTAATGTGAATCCTAGTCAATAATTTGAGATATTTGTAAATTAAGTGAAATTCCCGACTTTAAAATAAAAAGTTCGTTGCACAAATTGTGTTTGTGTGTTTGTGTGTGTAGAGAAATTGGCTTCAGACTTAATCCATTAGCCGCAGATCGCAGTAATAGTAAATAATCATAATACTAGGTGGTCTGATAAATAACCTTCTTTGAAATAAAAAACTTTTAGGTCAATTCAACGATTCCAGTGATTTTCCAATCTTCTCCACAACGTCTTGTGCCGTCCGAATAATACGATTCTGAAAGCTCTGCAAAATAGGCGTTTGTTTTGTCAATTATATCTTTTTTCGAGCAGAATTTTTTATTTACAAATCATCTCTTCAGATTGGGGAACACATAATAATCGAAAGGGACCAAATCAGGAGAATAGGTCGGATGAGAAAAACACTTGAAGCACATTTCATGAATTTTTCGCCATTTGAGATAAAGCTCTTTGAGAAATAGTTTTTTTTTCTTCTGTATATGGGACCTTTCTCACTGTGTTCCTGCTTCAATTTGTCCAATAAAGCACAATAATATTAATAGTTTTACCGTTTTCAAAATGGTCAATTAAAATTATGCCTTTGCAATTTCAAAATAAAGTGGCTGTAGCACAACTTTTACGGCCTATTGAGACACTCTTGGCCGCTTCAGCCGAAATTGATGCCAAAAGTACGACGGATTGCGCTTCAAACACTGTTGGGGAGTGGACACACGATCCTACTTTTGGTCAATGGTCAACAAACGCGGCACCCACCGGCAGGATAATTTTTCATACTCAAAACTTTCAAAATGTGAGCTTTTTAATAATTATTGTGAACTCTGCCAATGCATACACCTTTAGTTTACGATCATCTAAAACCATTCCATGGACTTTCTTCACATTTTCCGGTGTTAATACATCGGAGGACCGTACAATATGTGGTTCATCTAATGTACGTATTCGGCCACAACAATAAATTTCAACTCTTTTTAACACTGTATTAAATTTCAAATCATCCAAGAGAAATTGTGTGTAAGGTAAAAATGAATCGCCATGACATCAAAACTTATAAGTACCCGAATGTCATAAAGTCTTACAGATCAGCACATTAGATCTCATAGAAAAAAATCTTACTTGAAAACAGTGAAATACATACATTTTTGAAGTATAATACGATATCAGTAAATAAACCGGTAATCTTTAAGACATTCCTAAATTACAAGTAAGACCTCACATATTTGTATCCAGCAACCTATGGTTACAGTCTCACTCATTTAGGACATTCTTCATGTTTTTCCTATTGTGTAGATACAAATTTTATCTACAGTGTTACTAGTAGAGCACTATTCATGCACATGAAGGAGTAGGAATAGGGCTAGATTAGCAATAGATTGTTGTGCTCAAAGAATGCCTGATTCCGCCAAGATAGTTAGAGCCTTTAACAATAAGGTCCATAAGACAGTCTCAATAAAGACTGCGAGCTCACAATTCTGCAGCTTGTGAGCACCTAACAACGTGGAACTGCAGATGGTCACTTAAGCAACTCGTAAAGCACAATAAACTAACTTTGTTATTGGTGTAAGGATATAAAGGCATCCTTTTATGTAACTAGACTGCAGATAGTTGTGCTAAACAAGGTGCAAGTATTCCGTTTAACAAACCAGAATCATTTTTAGGTATCCCAAAAAGCGCAACGAGAAAGATGTCTGAAAATGGGAAACGGAGCTTCGTGCAGACTACTGTAAGTATAATCAGACACATTCAAGCAAAAAGATTATAACAATCTTTTGCTCACTACGAAAAAATACTCCTAGAGCTTCAGAAAACTGAATCAGTGTAATCCCACACGTGATCTCACAGGGCAAGTTTTACCAGGTAAAACAACCTGTTAGAAATCTGCAATCGCTAGAATAACGTATGGTATATTTAGCTTTTAAGATTTAAGAGAGTTTGGTATAACTTACCACTGAACTTCCAAAGAATCTTGTGAAATTATTCAAACAAAACGAATATACAGTGATGAGTATGTTAACATTCGGCAAAATAATGCAAAAGATGGAAAACAATAAGCTGTAAAATAAAGAGATGAAACTAGTAGAGGTGAGAAACTATCGATAGAAACCTATAATTTACATTACATTAAATTACATTATCACTATGATTCAATAGTTTCCCACCTTTAGACGTTAGCTTATAAGCTAGTTGACTTCAGTCATAATTATACGAATGACGTCGATTTTTTTAATTTCAAGTAAAGTAAAAACTGATTGAAGAGAAAGCAAATGTAAATAAAGACAGTTTAATTAGTAGTAATTTTTTAATCCAAAATTAAGTTATTGATCAAGAATAACTTCTACTATGATTTGAGTCATATTTTCTTGTCAGTAAAGAATTATCGAAGCTTGGTGGTTTAGTGGTAAGAGTATCATACTTTCACGTAGACGCTGAGGCTTCGAATCCCACATGTGTTTTTTTTTTCATTTTTTTTTATTTATTTTATGCCAAAATCATTACTTAATTATAAATCAGATTTTGCATTCAAAATGATGACTGTAGAACCGGAAATACAATAAATCCGTACATTTTTAATTTTGCAGAAATCGAACCGAATCTCTGGTGGAAATTAAACCCAATCTGTTGGTCAATAGACCAACTCTCTAACCACTTAACCAACTCCACACACAATAGTTGTTGTTTTTGGCCAGGACGTAACTTTTAGTTTACGTAAAATGTTTTTGTTGAGTTATTTTTACTATTAGTTTGATTTATAATTAAAATGGCTACTATTTATTGTTTTTTACTAGCGTATGTATTAATTTGTTCAATCATTTGTTCTAACAGGAGAAATTAAAATAAAATATTTTTCGACGTCATACGTAGAATTATGATTGAAGTCAACTATTATAGCCACGTTATACGAAGCTTTATCTCTTACTATCTCACAACTTAATACGTCTTTCATCTTTTACGATATTTTGCCAGTCGTTAATGCATGTATCACTGTGTAAGTTTTCAACATTCGCGCGGTGAACAAACTTGCTACAGTAAAGAAGACAGTTAGATTTTTATACTATTAGATATTGAAAAATTAATAAATTAACTATGTAACGTTTAATGCGATACAATTATTTGGTAAATAAAATAAAATTAGGACATTAACATCAAATTAAAGCCTAATCCACAATAAACTAAAAATATCGACAAGTGCGTACCTGGTTATTTAAAGGAAACAAATCAACTTCATCATTGTTGCAACTGAGTTGTTCTTGACGTCTGAAAGCTGCATTAGTGGGTTCGGCACAATTACTTTTACCTGTGTCATTTTCTCCCATGCCCCAATTGGCTAAAAGGTAAACCATTCCCTCGCCTTCTTAATTCTAGCAGCAGTATAACTCGATCTAAATCTGAAACAAAACAGGCAAGGATTAATATACTTTTAACACTATAAACAACACTATTGAATTGACATCAAACATATAACAATTGATCAGAAATGTTTTACAGGTTAAGATACCTTATGGAGTAAATAATGTAGTGGAAAATAGCTATATACTTTTTATATTTATATTTTATTTTTATATGGTTTTATTGCATGCTTGACAGTGTCTAGATAAGTTAATATGAAATATAAATGACGGATTAAAACAAAAATATTTTTTCACATGTTCATTGACGTCTGAAATAAACAGTAAAATGGTGGGATGAGTAGATATATGATTCTATTTCACAATGATAAAACATCTATACATTGTAATTATGTTCCATTACCCTGCCTTACTATTTACAAATCTTTACTGATACCTCTAAAAAGCCCGATGGACTATTACAAAGGAGTTTCTTAAAATACAAAAACATTCACAATGTGTAGTATAAGTAATCACATGTGACATCAAAGAGGATTACACAGGATAAAGACATGGCAAAATGACTGCAAAATCTGAAACAAACATTAACAGAAATATGTCTACAAGCAAATACTTTTTTGAAAAATCCTTTAAGCAAAGAAACAAATTGATGATTAACCACCTGCGATTCGGTCATACTGCTCTAACACATAAATGTTTATCCCGTTTCGTTGATAGTAAAATACATTCAGAAAAAATAATTCCGTGGAATCGCAAATCATCTGAAAATGATTGTCACTAAAAAAACAGTAATAAATCATCACATCATTAAATTTGTATAATTTACAAAACTAATACTGCAAAAAGTAAGATCGTGCGTTAGAATTCAAGAAGACTTTATGTTCTTTAATGTTAATAATGGTGTCAGAAAGGGAGATACGCAAGCGTGCCTACTTTTTTAACATTGTCTTGGAAAATGCAGCCAGGCAGATAAATATTAGATTGAACATAGCTACCTTTAATAGATCGACACAAATCAACATTCGCTGATGATACCGTTAAAGTGGGCAGAAGTATAGGAGACACCAAATATATGTTGATTGCTAAAACCCTCAAAATGTTCAACAGAATCCAAACTAACAACTATACCTTTGAGGAAGAATTCACATATCTTAGACCGCTAATAAATGCTGGTAAATATTGGTTATACAAGGGAAAGGGAAGGAGAAAGAAGACCGGAGAGACGCCGCACGTCCTGGTTGAAAAATTTAAAGCAGTTGAGTGAAAAAACAACAATACAACTCTTTAAAACTGCTGCAGACAGAGTAAAATGGATGTGATGATTGCCAATGTCCTTAAAGAATAAGGCACACGAAGACAAAGAAGCAAGGACTATGATGGTCTGGACACATTGTTAGGATGTCAGATAAAGCGTGCACGAAAAGACTGACTTTGTCAAACCCAGAGGGTTAGCGGAAACAAAACATATTTGTTCTGTACGCAATTCTCAACTAAAAACTCTACGTGCTTGATGTGGTAGGTGTAAAAAATGAAAGATTAGTTTACAACCATCGCAATGTGAGATCTTTCAAAACGATAAACAAGTTTTAGCATAGATTTTTATCATACTTGACGATATGAGTAGGATTTGCGCATGGGATGGATATTTAAAAGATAATTGTAAATTTTTACATAATAAACGATAAAGGTTGCTGTCACTCTTCGTTTTCTGTAAATGTACACAAAATATACGGTATTGTTCAACTGCAGGATCTATTAATTTTTGGTAAATCAAAAACACGTATATCAGTATAAATATTTTTACTATATCTTTGTTTCCACTCTTTTATAAATCACAGATTTACCTTGTTTATTTACCATACTAAAATTAGATTGTTCCATTACAATGATAACACACATACCATAAAGTACAAACAAGTAATAGATAAAGATACATTCTTTGCATTGTCCAAACACGTGGTCTTCCTTGTTGGCCCATTGACAAGTGTTTACTTTGATTGTTTTGGTGCAACTAGGTTATTTTTCATGAAATGAAAACTTCGTGAAAAACACGATGAAATTTTGAAACATCCTACCCCACACTCGCGCCCTATTCATCGAATGCCATATTCATACCACCCCCCCCCTAATCATCCACCCCCCCAAAAAACAAAACCCACACATATACCTACCCCCTACCCCTCCACCTTCCCCCCCAAACATTATCCAAAAACACCCCCCCCATCTACTTTATGTAGAGAATAACTGTTGTGTGTGTTACGTGTGTAATGAAGTGACTAAAAACATATCACAGCTCGTTATTTTTTAAATACCCTAATAAAAATTATTTACCTATATATTCCCCCAACTCACACCCACCCACCTCCAAATCACTCCCCCCCCCTAACAAAATTCCAACACCACTCAAACAAACCACAAATTATACCAAAAACTACCTAACCCCCAACACCTCCCCCCCACCCCCACCACCACCATTTAAAATCCCCACAAAACCCATACCACCCCACCACCTAACTATCACATCTAACACCAGTCCAACCACACATAATACTGGCTTGTTATGTGTGTATGTTGTGTGTGTGTTCCGTGCTGTGCTACTGTCCAGCATGTGTGTGTGTTGTTGTGTCCATAGATATAAGAACAGCATCATCACAGGACCCCTCATTTACCTCCTGCCCCGTTTACGCTCCCCCCTACTGCATCCACCTCCCCCACCAACGCCCTCACAGTCCATCCCCCCCCCCCCCCCCCACCCCCCCCCCCCCCCACCCCCCCCCCCCCCCCCCCCCCACCCCCCCCCCCCCCCCCCCCCCCCCCCCCCCCCCCCCCCCCCCCCCCCCCCCCCCCCCCCCCCCCCCCCCCCCTCCCCCCCCCCCCCCCCCCCCCCCTCCCTCCTGCTAAGCATGGCTTCCTGTGTGTGTGCCGTATAGATAGGGGGGGAGTGAAGGGTGTGTGGATCTGTGTATCCTCTGGATCCTGTTCTTCTCGAGGATATCCCTGGTCTTTCGTAGTCTTCTTGTGGCCTGGTTGAAGAACCACCTGGTTCTATTCTCGGCCACCTCCCTCAGTGTATCCTAATCTATTCCTGATGGTGGCGTTGGTAACTCTATCCTACCAAGCTGTTCCGTCGATGATTCGGTAGCATGAGGTCTCAGTTGCTTCTAACTTTCTCGATATACTTAGTAAGACGATGTGCCAATTTTTTTTGTCATTGTCACATCTGAATAATACTTTTGCTCGAGCTCTTCAAAATAGGCCGAATCATTTGTTGCGAAACGGCGTCCTTCGAGCCATTTTTTTAGGTTTGGAAACAGGAAAAAATAGCTGGCGGCAAGATCTGAGGAATACGGTGGGTTTTCAACCAATTCATAGCCCAATTCGTGTAATTTTACAATGGCGACGGCCGATCGGTGAGCCGGTGCATTGTCTTGGTGAAAGATCACTTTTTGCGTTCCAAACCGGGGCCTTTTCGATGCAATTCGGCATCGAATAAATTCCAAAAATGTTGCGTAGTACTCACCATTGATTGTTTTTTCTTTTTTCAAGTAGTCTATGTGGATGATGCCCTTCGCAATCCAGAAAACAGTCGCCATCACTTTGCCAGCCGAATGTGCACTCGTTGCCTTCTTCGGCACTTCGCCGCGTTTGCGCCACTGTTTCCACTGTTCTTTGGTTTCCGGTGTGTAATAATGCACCCAGGTTTCTCCGAAGTGGTCACGCGTTTTTGCATTTGATCGATTCGCGGATAGCTTTCTCATGTCCAAATGGTGATGAATGATGTTGTGTACGCGTTCGTAGGAAATGTTTAGGACCTCTATTAACTCGCGGAGCTTAATTCGACTATCTGTCATAATCATACCATGTACTTTTTTGATCATTTCCGGCGTGGTGACTTCATTTGGCCTCCCGGAACGCTCATCATCAAAAACACTCGTACGACCACGAACAAATTCAGCTTTCCAAAATTTTACTGTTGTTAACGAAGGTGAACCTCACCATAAACTTAGTCCAGGTCGGCTTTGATTTGCAAATTCGGTTTACCCTTTTTGTGGAGGAACTTAATCACCAAACGATACTCGACTTTTTCCATTTCTCCGAAAACACAAAATTTGCTTGCTTTTGACGGCTGTAAAAAACCAAACTAATTGTTTTTAAAACTTAAAATTTTGACAGACGTCATGTCATGAATGGGAAATATCAACACCGAAACCAATTCGGTATCAAGTATCGCCATCTATCAAAAGCTAGTTTAATATCAATCTATCCTCGTATGTGAATTTTATTAATTTACTCAATTTTCCTAAAATAAAGTGTAGTTGACAAAACTAAAATGGATAATATAAGAAACTCAAGATGTAGTAAGATGGGAAAGATAGACATAAAGTAAGTGGTATTCTTTTTCTTACGGTGCCTATCCCACCCAGATGGCGATCAGCATGGCTGTCCTAACTTTGCTTGCAGCTATGGGGAATAATCCGGTTGTAGATGTATTTAACCACTTTCTCAGATTATGAAGCCAAGATATTCTTCTTCTCCCTGATTATCTCTTTCCAAAAGCCTTGCCCTGAAGAATGTGTTACAACAAGCCATATCTCTGCTAATTTCTCATGACATGACCAATATATTCTAATTTGCGCTCTTTGATTGTGTGAATAATCTCGCATTCCTAATAATCTCGCAGATTCTACGTACGACCTAACCATTAGACAAACGATCGACCCATGAAATTCTTTAGATGCGTCTGTAACATCACATCTCGAAGGCCCCGAGCTCTCTTAAAGAAGCTTCAGAAAGTGTCCAGCCCTCTATTCCATATAATAACGTAAAAAATACAAAGCATCTGACGCGAACGGCGTATTAGTCCGTTGACTAATACGCCTTTCTTTAGTTATCCCATTGCCTGATCGAAGATATGTTCATAGTACAAGTTAAGTAACACCGGGGACAGAATGCACCTTTGTCTCACTTCTCTATCTATGGAGGTTGCCTCTGTCAACGGGTCATCCACTTTAATGTTAGTAGATTTGTTATAATATAAA